CATTTAAGCTGTGGATTCTATATATTTGTGTAAGTAACAAAGAACAGTGGAAAACCTTCAGCCTAAGTGTGCAGGCACTGAAACCGAGATGGAGCAGGTTAGGCAACTGGGTTTACATTCTCTGAGTGATGTTAATGTTTCTTGAGTATGGAGCCACTGTAGGTTCAGTCTCTTCAACCTGCACAATGCAAAGAAAGCATTTTTGCAAAACTTGTAGTCAATGAAATTCATCCTACAAAGAGAGACTTTGGACTTTTCTTGCTTGTCTCAGACAGACCAGTATGCTTCTTCCCCTGGGGAGCACGCCTCCCCCCACAAATATCTTTACCAGGTCTCTAAGGGAGCAAGGTGACCTCTTTGATCAGGAAATCTGTAGTAYCACTATAAACCCAGATAGGACGATTTCAGTGACACATTGCTCCAGTAGTATTTTGGCACATCAAGGAACAGAAGCAAATGGCTACCTTGTACTTTACAAAACCTCCATGATTCTGTGATCCTTTGCTAAAGACAAAACTACACCTGGATTTGGACTCTTSCTGTGGAAGAAATATGGGTAATTTTTATTTTCCAGGTTTCTGTTCTTACCAGGGAAGCTGTCAATGTAAAGAGAAGATGTTTAAGTACCTCCTGCCCTAACTTTAGAACTAAGCACATTTCAGAGCACATACCTTGTGTTTAGCCAACCAGTGGCTGTGTCCAAACTGTGACAGACCCTTGCAAGCTGCAGCATTCAGTGCCACAGTTTGCTGGCAAAACTCTTYTTGCAAAATAGTGCAGTTTCTGGGTTCCATGCCAAGGAACTCCTTATCCAATTTTTGACCACGGTTTAACTGTGCTTTTATAGCAACTTCCTCCTGCACATGTCCCACAGTTTTGGCTGATTTGCTCTCACCAGGCCCAGCTGAGCTTTAGGCTCTCTGGGGCTGCAGCCTCTCCTCTTCCCTCATAGCCTGAGGTAACTTATGTGCTAAAGGCCCTCTCAAATCATGATTTCAAAACATTGCTCACATTTTAGGGGAGTAGCTGGACACRGTGAAGCTCCTTATGGCTTTACTTCCTTTAGTTCAGCAGCTGCAGCAGGACCTTCCAGCCTGAGCCTGGGCCAGGCCTGGGGAGCTCCTGTGGCCAAATCGCTGCTGGAGCTTTTCCCGCCCGTGGCCCAGCTGTGCCCGTGTTTGTTTCTCCACAGGCTTTCGGCTCAACAACCAGCTCTACGACATCATTACCATGCGCTACGCCGACAAGAACATGAACATCGACTTTGACAGCTTCATCTGCTGCTTTGTGCGCCTGGACGCCATGTTCCGTGAGTGGCTGCCCCGGTCCCTCAGCACCGCCTCCCCTCCTGCCCCCAAACACAGTCATGGAGCCATGGGGCAGCTTGGGTAAAAAGGGCTTAAAGATGGGCAGGGACACCAGATTGCCCAAACA